CAATCTTAACAACTAACATTCCAATCTCAGGCTCTCCCTTGGGTATATGATTATGGTCAATCTGTCCAATGCCTCCACTAAACATTATTGGTTTCAACCACTCCCGCCTTTCCCATTAGGAAGTCTCATTCCAAAACTCCTATAGAACCCTTGAATCAAAGGCTCTCCAAATTTGTTGCCATCGTCAGATGCACCATTACTAGAATCCAAGAGGATTTGCAAAGGTGATGCTAGATCTGAAGGATAAGTAAAGGATGAGTCTTCCCATTGAGCATAAGACCCTAGCATGTTGAGATTTCCAACACAATAACCAGCTGTAGCTGCTTGTATAAAAGAACCCCTTCCTGTGGCATGAGTATCCCTAATGCGACCTCCTGCACCTGTCTCTGCACCAGGATAAGGAGCAACTGCACATGGAAAATTATGAGTCTCAGCTGTAAATAAGACATCTAGATCAACATGCTGTCAAGTTTAATGGACATGATGACCCAGGCTGAACTGGTTGCAACTGCTTCACTAGGAAACCTCTGATTGCACTGGAGTTATCCTTAAAACCAATAACTGAATTATCTGGATTTGCTTGGAAAGTTCTTTTCACAATCTGCATCAGCGACTTATCCATGACTTGCCCAACAATGAAAATTTTTCCAGTTAAAAACCAATGCCTGCTATGCTCACTGTTGGATTGTGCAATATCAAACAATTCAATATTAGTTGGATCGCACTTAATATCCTCTCTGAAAAGTTTACTATAGTATTGTATATCCTGGTCATCAAAAGCTAAGCCCGTTTCTTGATTAATTTCTTCTAATGTCTTTTGTCCCTTCTCCATGACTGGTATAGACTTTTTCAGGAATCACATTGGTCTCAAAGGATGTTAGCTTATGAACGTAAATACATTCAGTCATTCTATCATGCACCATTGCTGCAAATTCATTAATTTGAAGTCACCCTAGGTGTACAATAAGTACCTCCTCAAACATTCCAAACGTGTTACCTCTGTCAATCCACATGCACAGCAAATTGCAACAGCATTAGGAGACCAGGCTGGGGTAAATGATAGCTTAGGGCCAACGTCTATTATAATAGTGCTCAAACCCTCCTCACTTCTTCTCTCAAGAAAGCTCTCAGTTTGCAATGCAGAAGGCTCATATGTTTCTTGAAGAAGCCATTTAAGTACTGACAGTTTTTGTCTTGAAAGTTCTGTTTCAATCCCAATATTGAAACACTGCTCTGTTTGCAAAGCCACTATGTGATCAGAGATTTTGCTTTGAATCTCCTTAAGAAGTTCAGCAGCTGCACTTTCTTGGATCGATGGAACCCGATAAAAATGAAGAATTTTCAACACTGGCTTCACAACCAAGCTAGACTGATCATCTACTGAGCTACTGACAGCCCCAGCAACCACAACTTCGGGATTTGTTTGAGCTTGGCGCCTCAAAGATAATGCTTCTCTAGTCGAACCCCATACTTGACTTGTACTCCAAACTGTACCCCAAAGTAAATTACTCCTCTGCCATTGAGATTTCTTCACTAAAAATAGTCTTTGCCTACATTTACCCCAAAGCCATTGGCACATAAACCAGGGGGGGGGGGGGAGACACAGCAGCATTAAATTATCTAAAGATTAAAAGTATGGCAGAAACAAGACGCATAAAATTCTGTTCAATTCGTCAACCAAAAACACAAAGGAAACCGAAATTTACAACCCATCCACACCAACAATAAAATTTTATCACAACAATAAACTGTTTCAAACGTCCTAACAAAACAAAAATGTACATCATATGATGATATGGAATCCTAGGATTGTGAGAATTCAATTAAAGGAGCAAAAGCAAACCTGAAGGAACCCGGCAGCCCCCATTTCCCCAGCAGCAGCCATGTTCTTAAGAAGAGCAAACTAACAGGTAAAATGTAATTGTATTACTTCTTAGCATGCAGTAGAGAGTCTCCAAAAACTTCAAGAAGAAAAAATATACATTAAGAATTTCAAAACTCATCAAAATCAGATATAGCATATAATAAATATAAAATATATAGAAACTCAAGACCTTTACCTTCACGTCCAAACAAGATGTACAGGAGCAAAACCAATTAGAAAGGTTTAGCAGCGTATTTCAGCAAAATAGGAGAAAACAAACCTGAGATCGTGAGGAGCTACTTTGAACCACCGCCTTCTTCCGTGCGCCTTTTTGCTCTGCTTCAGATCTTCAGTCTTTCAATTGTAACTGGGAGAAGAGAGTCAGGCAAGATGAACAGAATGAAGACCACATGGACATGGTAAAATTTACATACGTCCCACCAATGAAAGATCATAAACAATACCAAGGTAATTTTCTTCAGAACTCAGCTGGAGGCACATTAAAAGTTTACCAGAACTTTTTAGCGAACAACTAAGCGATTAACACACTTTAACGGGGAAGCTTCGAGCTATGCTCTCCCCATTTATGCTACAAGCCTAATGGCTCAATTTTTTTTTCCTAGAATATACTGGGAAATCTTTGGCCAAAAAAAAAACAAAGAGAATATACTGGGAAATCCGGACTAATGTTTGATAGTCATGTTATAGTGTAATGGGAATCGTCAGTTGCAACAAAGGAAGAAGATTTACCTGCTGTTGGACTCGATGAACAGGTGGGCAAAGCATAGGCTTCAAGCAAAGACGTCTTTTACTCAAAAAGAAGGGAGCCCCAATTTGTCAGCGTATTAAACTTCGCAGGGAAAGGAATGAAGGGATAGAGACCGCCGCCGTTATAGCCCCCTCACGGCCTTACCTCCAACAGCAAATGGCGACGGAGAGTGGAGTCTGGAGACGCCTTCGTCATGCGTGGAGAAAGAGGAATGACTAGAGAAGCAACGAGAGCTGAATGCCTGAGCCTCAAGCCGAAAGTGGAAGGGCTGAAGTCAAAGTGAATGAATGCGGTTGAGACAGGGACAGCAGCGTCGCCGGGGAAAGGGAGAGTGAGGTGAGGACTGAGGCGTGACGGAGAGGGAGACGGCCAAACGGGGTCTTGTTTGATTCTGATTTTTTATTTTTATGTTTTAGACTAATTTTATAAAATTATTTTTAACAATTATTCTTTTTTATGAACTTTTTAGATAATTATTCTAAAACATTATATTTGAGAATATAAAATTTTATTTAAAATAGACGGTTTTAAAATCAACTTAAAAAAAAGAATTGTTTATTAACTTATTTTATATAACTCATATTTATATTATTTTTTATAATTACTTAATATCTTTGACTAGAATGACTAATAAATAATATATAAAAAATTTCACTTAGAAAAATAACATGGTCAAAATTTAAATGGAGATTGTCATAAATAGAGCCTTGAAAATAATATCTAATTATATTATATAATCTTTTTCGTTCAAAATATAAATATCAAATCTTTTGAAGATGTTTAGTTTTTTTATAAGCTATAATTTGAATTTTTCTGATCATTTCATATATTCTTTTTTTATTACTAATTAATTATATGTCTCTCTCATCTTTTTTTTTTCTCACTTGTTCTCCCTCTTCTCTTTTTCCCTCTATTCTCTTCCCCACTTACGCCCTTTATAAGTAACTGTGTTTTAAGAAAATAAGTTATATTTTCATATAATCTTCACCAACTTTTTAAGTTGCAAGATTTAATTATTTGATACTTATATTTTAAGTCAGAGGTAACTTCTAATTAGTAGGATTAAAATAAAACAACCACATCCAAACTGAAATTTGATAACAATGTGTTGGCATCTCTATTGCACTTTGATCAGATAATCTTAACAAATTGTTTAGATTATAACTTTATACATGTATAAATATATGTATAGTTATGAGGAAACTAACAATAACTAAGACATAAATATTAATAATTAAGACTTACCCCAAACCCAGAAAAACACATTGGGTTATTTCTGAACCTTATTGGCTCTTGTTTTACAAGCACTTTCTTAAAATTAATGTGAAACTGTTTCGGTAGAATGATGAAAATGATCTAAGCGGGTGTTTGAATGGAAACAAAACCATGATTTCAAAAATAATTTTACAATCTACGAGGTAAATATATGGAAGAGTTTATCTCGATTTATAAAAAAATACTTCTCAGGGTATCCAAACACCTCCTTAACACATAGGAACATTGCATAAATTGGAAGATCCATACGTATCTCTCGATACTCTTCAATTGGAAGATCATGTATTCGAAGAGCTTAACCTTGATCCATTAAGAAAAGCTCCTAACACGAGTTGGATCATCCATTACCCAGTGCCACACCATAATGCTGAAATTTAAAAAAATTATAATAATAAAGTTTAAATATCCAAACGGACTCATTAATCTCAGAACCTTGTGCTTAAATGGATGATTTTCATAGTGATAAATAGGATTCCTTTAACATCAGGTGTTGCTCTGATGTCCATTTTACCATCACAAGGCTCGCCCTAATTCTAAATCATTCTACAAAATAAGTTGCCTCGTGCGGATAGGAATAGCACAAAGTTTAACGTTTGCTATGTTCCATGTTGCTAGTGAACTCAATCCCACGATGCTTTTCTTACAAACTGTTACTTCTATAGCCATGGTTTTCACAAGATCAATATGCAAACAAATAAAGTCTTTGGCATGTCTTTGTCCCTCAGCCAACGGTGAAGAAAGAAATAGAGGTCAAGGCCATGTCAAAACAAATTTAATACATAATCATCACTAGACAGCTTAATTTTAAGTAGAAATTACTGAGTATAATAGCTTTTTGCAAACCAAAATAGAGAGGATTTTATGCTGTATTGGCCCCATACTCCTAGTGTCATCCTCAATAAACTAGATTGTAAGCCTGTACTTTGCACAGACTATGAAATAAACCACATCGTTCATGACTTATAAAGAATATGACTTCTTCTAAATTATATACTCTGTATGATTTGAAAATATAAATTATAAACAGACCTTGTACTTATGTGTTTATAAATATTGAAATTCCAATGCATTAAAAAATATAAATATTAATAATATATAAAATCAAAAATATAAAATTTTATAATGAGTTACAATAATTACAAGTAATAAATGTGATTTGGTTTTAATCTATGAGAAAACTTTCCAGCTGAAAAGGAGGACCTTGGGAAACCACAGCTCTTACAATCAGTTTCCACATCCCCATCTTAGGTACAAAACCTTGCTGCACCATTTGCTTCACAGCCCAATTGACATCACCCAGAAGATTCAACTTGCATAGCCCCTGAATCATCACTCTATATGACACGAAGCTTGGAGTTATGCCCATCAAAACCATGTGATTCATTAAATGTTTAGCCTCAGCAAACCTCTCAGCATCAAGCAATCCATACAAAACCTCTTGATAAGAACTTGCAGTAGGAGCACATCCTTTAAGTTGCATTCTCTCCAATAGCTCTTTCGCTTGTTCAACTCTCCCCTGTTTTCTCAACCCAGAAATCAGTATGTTGAATACTATCGTATCAGGCCAAATACCATCCATCTCCATTCTATCCAACAACAAAAATGCATCATCCAGCTTCCCTTGTTCACACAAAGCATGCATCAATGTAGAGAAAGTTCTCACATTGGGTTCACATTTTATCTTGGGGAATTCATCGAGCACTTGGAATGCAGCCTCCAGCTTCCCACAATTACACAAACCTTTGATGAGTATATTAAGGCAACAAGCATCTATCTCAACACCTAACTTAGGAGCCGACGTATAAACATCATAAGCAACATCGAGCAGCTTGGTAGACACAAGGAGGTTCAGGACGAAATTGAAGGTTTTCGTGCTGGGCCAGCAGGGGAACTTGGGCATGTCGTAGAGGGTCTCGATGGCTTTGTTTATACGACCAGCCATGTTGCCATACACCTTGATAACATTGTAGAAGAAGTCATCAGACAAGCGGCAGTTCCTCTCGAGTTTGATTCTGTGCATGAGGTTGTCAATGGCATCAAACATTTTGGCATGAGCTAACTTGAGGATGATTGAGAGGTAAAAGGGCTCATTGGGTTTGTAGTCCTTGCGCTTGGAATAGAGTTCCAAGACTATAATTGCTGAAGATGGGTCTGTGAGGGAGTTTATGAGAGTCAGCACCTCTTTGGGAGTTAACCAGTCTTTGTGATTTAGCCTTGTCAAAACGGTAGAATCTCTAGTAGATGCTAAAAATGAAGTAGAAGATGAAGAAGACGAAGAAGTGGCAGTGGAGTAAGCAAAAGCAACAGAGTTGAAAATCAAAGGCCGGGGGAACTTGCGAATTGGTGGATATGCTCTGGAAATCATGGCCGATAAACACTTTACAACGAACTGGAGGCACCACTCACATATTAGGAAACAGAGACCCAACAAGAATTTATCAGAACTTATTACCAAACAACCAAGTGACTAACACACTTCAAACGAGAAGTTTCGTGCTATCCCCAGCCTAGTTTATACTACAAGTCAAACAGTTCATTTCTTTCTGATTTGAGAGGAAACTGAACAAACAGACGAATTGCATAAAACTACAAAAGGAAACCCCAGAAAAGAAAAATGGTCCCTAACATACTAAATATAAGGTGCTGGGAAATTCGGAATGATTGATAATCATGCAATAGTGTAATGGGGATCGTCGATTGCAGCAAAGAAGAAGATTTACCTGTTGTCGAACTTGATGAAGAGGTACGCAATGCATAGGCTGAACTAAACACGACTTGTTTTAAAAGAAGGGAGCCCTAATTTGTCAGCGAATTAAACTTCGCAGGGACTGGAATCACGGCCTCTGCAACAACACATGGCAAGGGAGGGTGGAGACAGGAAACGCCATGGTTGTGCGTTGAGAAAGGAGAGAGGCCAGAGAGGCTGAGAATGAGAGCTGAATGCCTAAGCCAAGAGAGCTGAAGGGAAAGCGAATAATGGAGCTAAACCAGAGAAGAGAAGAAAGGGGAGCAACCGAGGCGGTCGCCGCCGCCGTCCATTAGCGAGGAGGAGACGCCGCCAGGGTGGGCCGTGGGCCGTGGGGTTAAAGGCGCCCAACCCGTTTTACCTTTCTCCGGTTATTTGGGGAATAAAAACAATCAACCAAACAATGTCCTGACCAAGATTATAAATTTTTTTCATCCCGAAGTGGAATAGGAAAGTAACAAATAAAATTAATTATAACTATTGGTTCATATATTCATAATTTGTCAATTGTTATTTTTTTTTATAAAAAGGCTATTTAATTTTTTTTGCTAAAGCATAAATATCCTTCTATTAGAGGTAATCATATTCGAGGCACTATCAGGCACTAGATGTGGACACTTCTCCTAGTAGGGATTCGAACCTTGATTCATTATACTGTGAAGGATTAGTCCCTTCTGTTAGACTCAATCCGTTGGTAAAAGACTATTTAATTTAATATAAGTAAAATAATTGCATAAAATGGCTGGCCTATTCGATCCATTTGAACAAAAGCCCAAATAAACTAAAAGGGAAAGTAGCTCTAGAACATCTAAAGCTTGAAAAAAACCGTACAAAACGATAAACAAAAAACAAAAAACTAACAATAGAAAAACAAAAAAACACTGTAGAGCCCAAAACCAGATCACCAATCTGAAAATCAACCAATTAGCTCCAACACCATCAAAACAGACACTTTTAAAGTCCCAAGAAAAGGATTGGATGCTACTCGGCAACATCAAAAGGATAAGGAACATTGGTAAATGTCACTACGAACCATCATCTCATATTGATGACCCACAATGAGCTTGTTTAGCAGGGCTCTTATGGGCTGAAAAGTAGCTTATTTTTGCTACAAGCTCGATTAGAAGATTGCTTGGTGTTTGTTTGGGTTTAGATCCAAAATGAGCTTATCTAATTTAAGGTGTGAAACGTACATTGTGGGAGAAGCTACATTATCTAGCTTATTGGATTATCGATTGGAGCTTATTTACTATTGTGATGTGTCAAGCTTTATTTTTCTCTGAGTTCGGCCATCCCTCATTTGATGTCTTCATTTTTTTTTTCACCTCAGAGCTCTCCACAACTGCAAGCTACCTCCCAACATCCTCCGTCGCGTCCTTGCCAGAACCACCGACACCTGGTTCGCCATGAGCTCCGTCACGTCTCCGTCGTAAGGTCATCGTGTTGGGTGTGGCGTTGAGTGACCGAGAGCCTGCTCCTTCTCGCGACTTCGACCTTCTCCGAGCTGCTGTCAGCGTCTCTAACCCAGGTCACTGCTGTCTACCGGTGCATGTGAGGTGTGCGTCAAGATCTTAGCCTCCCAATGGAACAGGGTGTCCGATCTACCTTTAGCAGGCTTCGGGTGGTCCGATTCGTGACAGGTTGCCCGATTCCTGTTTTTGTGTTGGTTTTTGGTGAATATGGTAGTGATATGTGATTGATCCAAGCATGTGGAGTTGTGTGTGTGTTGATCTGTGTGTGAGCTGATAGAGCATTTGTTTTCATCCCCTGTTGTTGCCTGAAACTGTCATCTTCACTATTGTCCATTAAGGCCACACCACCGTGTTGTCCTCTTTTTTTTTCCCCTTCTAGTTCAGTGCTCTGTTTCCTGAAATGGTCGTCGTCCCTGCTGTTAGTCAAGGCCACTCCCTTCGCAGGTAGAAGCAAGGAAATGTAGTAACCCAATTGACGGAAAATCATTCTCCTTCCTCCTAGAAATACTTCCTATGCAGCACCACCGTGTTGTCCTGTTATTTTTTTTGTCCCTTTTGGTTCAATGCTCCGTTTCAGTAAAATGGTAGTCGTCCCTAGTGTCAGTCAAGGCCACTCCCTTCGCCGTGGTCCCTACTGTAGTTTAATGCTCTGTTCCAGTGGTCTGTTTGTTGTGATTGATTATTTGATTGATTATTTGTGGTTGAATCATCTTCAGGCTTCTATGTACTTCTTTTATAATGTTTATAGAAATTTAATAGAAAGAATTGCTGAGTTCTGCGCTATATGAATTTTGGAGCTTCAGGTTAATGTTGTTGTTCGAATCATAGGGAGTATTTGCGTTTTATAAAGCATGATCTGTATTTAGTACAAAATAGCTATTTTAATAAATCCTGTTGATCATCTAATATGGAAATGGCTTTATTTATAACTTCTTTTTTCCAAATTCATAGTCATTTTAAATCATTTTAAATTTAAGATTAAATTCTATAAAGGCGTTAAAATTAAAATTCGTCATCTAACAAGATAACGAGTGGTTGATGGCAGTGACACGCTTAAACTTATAATTTATTGGCAGATTTTTAATAAGAAAGTGATGGTTCTAGTGATTATTAAGTTCAACAATCATTGAAGATAAGTAAGCCTAAAATCAAGTGACTAGGTGGTAAATATAAGGTTGGAAGAACTATAGGTGAGGAATCCTTTAGAAGAACTATAGGTGAGGGAACATTTGCAATAGAATGAAATAGGAATTATGAAATTCAATAGGAGAGATAGAGATTTTATATAATTTAAATAGATAAAAAGAATTTTAACAATCATAATCAATGTAAATCATCAATTGATATCAATATAAATTTATCAATATCATATATAAAATGAAAACGAAAGTTGATGTTGTATATTTACGGGTATCATTTATTCATTCCAAATTTTTCAATCAACTTTTTTTCACTGAAAAATCTCTTAAAAGGACATTTAAATAACTCAAATTTTTATTTCAATTATTAAATTTATCAAACTCCGACTTAGGTCACATAATTTAAAAAGAGATTTTTAAATTGTTTGAAATGACTTTAATGCTAGTTTCACTAGAAAATAAAATCAAATTTTAAATTCACACTTTTTTGTGTTGGGATTTCTTCTGAATTTTAGGTGAGAAGAATATGCAAATAACATATAGTTTTGTTTGGGTTGAACTTATTTCTTACATAACGTAGCATGAACTTGAACATTTTTGGTGCTTTGCTTGCTTTTGTTAGTCTTATCTCTATTATTTTCCACATAGAAATGGATAATGATAAAGGAAAAGCCACATGGGATCTGTACATGACGAAAATTCTAATCGATATTTGTACCGGACAAATAGTGCACAAGGAATGCCAAAGAACATAATTTACAAGGCTCGGTTGGAGGAAAATTGAAAAGAATTTTCAAGAAAGGAGCAGGAAAATGTATGACAGGAAGCAACTTAAGAACAGATTTGATATTTTGAGAAAAGATTGGAAGTTGTGAGAAAAACTTATGTCTAGGGAGATTGGCATTGGTTATGATGCAGTGACAAATTGGGTGTTAGCCTTCGATGAGTGGTGGTAATGAAAATTAATGGTAACTATTTGCGTTGGTTAAGTTTTAATTTTGAATATCAGTTCAGTCACTGCTTACACTTGCCTAATTACGCTAATATAGGTGGACCCCAATTTCAAGAAATTTAGACATCAGAGATTGATTTTGCATCAGATTTAATAAAAATATTCAAAGATGTTGTGGCTTCAGGAGAGTATATGTACACACCATCAACCTCATAGTGTCAGCCAGCATTTGTTTCACAGCCTGACATAGAAGAGGAGGAGGATGTTTATAGAGTCGGGCTGGACTGACAGGAAGGGTCGAGGGACAGTGAGGATGAAAATTTTGATGTTGACCCAACAGCAATGCAGGGGTCACAGATGACTTCGCCAGTTGCAACTTAAACAACCTCGCGAGTATTGGACCAAGTGGCTCAAGAAGCTATGGAAAGAGGAAGAAGGATGAGACATCTGATGCAAGGAAGAAGAAAAAAGTTGTTGCGTCTATTAAAATTTTTGATAGCCTTAATGTTACAGCAGCTGCTTCTAACACGCAAGCAGCAACAGCATTGGTTGAAGATCCCCAACTAGTTGACAAGATTTTGGCACATCTAGCTAGTCTTAAGGAGCTTAATGATGACAATCAACTATATTATGTATGTGCCAAGATGCTTACATGGTTGAGGTGGGCTAGGCGAACGTATTTGGGATTTATGCATGATAGATGCAAGTTATTAGGGTGGTTGATGCCGGCAGCACAAGACCCAGACACATGGAAGGGACCTGCAGATTAGGATTTAGTTTAGGACTTAGTTGTTTCACTATTGTTATTGCACTTGTTAACTTGAATTGATTGCTGTTTTAACCTGAACTGATATGGGTTGTTGTAGAAACTTTATTAATAACTATATAATATATTTGCGCTAATTTCAACTTATCATGTATGTGTTTGGTTTTTCTGTTTGCAGTATGAAAATTATTTACACGTTGTTTAGTTTAGTCCTTATAATGCTTACACTTTGTTGTCATTACAGTTATAGGGTTAATTCCAATCATGGCTAATTAGAATGATGATTCACCATGGAATGAAGATACTTTGCGGAATTAGAATAACAATTCATTGTGGAATGAAGATGACCATTCAATACGATTATCCATGATTAATGAAGAATTAACACAATATGAAGCAGTAGGTATATTGGTTGGTCATTATTATGAAATGTATATGTCTAAACAACCCTGCAGAACTAGTGAGCTGACAGGAAACTTATGGGAACAAGGCATTATGGAGGGGCATGATGATCGATGTCAAGAAATGTTTAGAGTGGGTAAACATGTTTTTCACCTCTTATGTACTAAATTGAAGGAACATGGTTTACGAAAGTCTAAATACATAGGAATTGAAAAATGGTCGTGATATTTTTAAACACAGTTGCACATGGACAATGCAATAGGATGATCCAAGAACGATTTTAATGTTCAGGGGAAACTGTAAGTAGACACTTTCACAATGTACTGCAAGCTTGCCTTAGCCTATCGAGTGAACTTATTTGACCTATAGATCCTACATTTCGTGGAACTCATAGAAAAATTGAGAACGATCCTTGTTATTATCCATTTTTTAAGGATGCAATCGGAGCAATTGATGGCACTCATATACAGTGTGTTGTCCCTGCTACAAAACGAGACAAATTTATTGGTAGAAAGGGAAATCCATCACAAAATGTCATGGTTGTATGTAATTGGGATATGTGTTTCACTTTTATCTTGGCACGATAGGAGGGATCTGCACATGATGATCGTA